AACCAGTGCGAGAGCCGCAGACGAGCGCAAAAATATGCGGTAAACAGCGCCAATTCCAAAAACGAATGTCATATTCGTAATCAGGACACCAAATAACCCCTATGTACAAGTTTACACCGAATTTCGTGAAAACAGCCGTCGTGACAAGGTGGCGCCAACTGGCGCCAAATGGCGCCAGCATCAAAAATGAATGTCATATTCGTAATCAGGGCATCGAATTACCCCTATAGGCAAAGTTTCGACGAAAAATAAAATTTTGAGATTTTGGGGCAGTAATAGTTGAATAGTGCCGACGTAATTACAACTATCATTTACTAAAAATCAGCTATCACTATGAACCACTACTAACCAGATTTACTTGGAGGCCGTCGTCACTTGTGGTGTATGGTCTGCACCCGCACAATTTCTGGTTTGAAGGGGAGGGTACGTGATGTGCCCTTCCGTGGACTGTTTCGACTGCATTCTTCAGCAAGACCAGGCGCCTGCACATGCCGCAAAATCTACGCTGGAGTTCTGTGACCGTCATTTTCCAGGTTACTGGTCACAAGATGTTTGGCCATCTAACTCGCCCGATTTGAAGCCAATGGATTTTGCGGTCTGGGGCTTCTTGCAGGAGAAGATGTGTCTCTGTGTCTTCTCAGTCGTCATCACCGTGAGCCGCAAGAAGCCGATGTTGAGTTCTTTCCGCGCGGAAGCCTTAAGGGAGTCTAAACTTCGATGTTGGTCAGGGCCTAGTTGTTGGCACCCTTGGAATTATCTTGACCATTCCAAATGCTTCGATATCACAGAGCAGGACTTATTTCAGAACTCTTACAAGTAGTGTACAAGGATTTCTGACGTTCAACTGAAAGGCTCCCTTCCCGCTCCCCTTTGCCCAAAATTACATGGAGAAAACGCCCGAAATATTCTATTGAAGCAATTGACATATTCTCCTGGACACCAATCTCGTACAGGAGCACGTCGATTCCCCAAAAAAATACATGAGAATCAGATGCAGTTATGTGATCCTTGCATTACGCGTCAAACATGTGACTTTTCCGTAATTGCGGTCCCCTGTTTTTAAACGCGCCATGATTACTGTGGCTAACCTGCGGTTTTTTCCTGCATCTGCCATCATTGATCAAGGCGCTGGTGCCAGTCATATGATATGCTTTCGATCCCCAAATGCTTTTTGTATTGTTGAGCCTTCCAGTTGTTGGTTTTCATGTTGTTGTTGTTTACCGTCCCTTTGTTTACTTGAGCTGTGCCTCACTTTGTTCGAAGGATCTGAGTACTTCTAGTAGAGTAGTTTCCGTTATTTGTGGTGCTTTTTGAATTCAGTTCCACGGATTCATTTGTCTATTTGGTTAAGGTTAAAATGGGTAACAACCAACCTGGTGGAATCAATAAACGCGACCGTCCTGGAGATTATACTGGTTTGTTCCTTATTGTTAGAAGTTATTTTATCACATTTTTGTTGTTTTCTTGTTAAAAACGCATACAAAATCGTGAGAATAACAAAATTGGCTCATGTGAGTGTATGCCAGACTCGATTTTGCGGCTCACAAATTTACTTTCAAGCATATCACATGTCAAGCCCCTCATTAAAGGACGGTTTGAACGTTGGACAAATTTTAAACCAGGTTTTCGATCAAGGAAGAGAGGAGTTCATGGTGTAAAGTACCAATGCTTGGGCTCTGTTAGGTCGGAAATCATTGAACAAAGTTTTCCGATAAAACTTCTTAGTGAAGTGGTTTCAGTCAATGCTTTCCAGATCCTTCAATCGTCCACACAATTTTCATCATAGGCTCTCCAAATTCATTTTTCGTAAACTAGCTTTTGATTGATTTTGATTCTCGCTGTTGGTCCTGGATATGGTCAGGGAAAGTGGTTACCACCAGGTTTACGGACCACTTGAACTTTCTTCTGTGGTAGGACTAAGCTTGTAAGGGGGAGGGACTCCGAGGTGGGTGAGCCAGCTACCGTGTGGTAAAAGTTTGAATGTAAGAGATCACAGTGGTCATGAGCCGCTGATAAGGCGAGAGCGCAGCGAAAGCATCGAGTTAGGTAGTTCATAGACCGTATATATTAGGTACCGGATATCTTAGTGTCGTTTTTTCACCGCGAGTTTCGGACCACCAATATTTTAATTCAAAATCCAGTGAGTGAAACGGCATATCCATCGAATGACTCATTAGCCCTTTCCCATTTACCAGTATGAGTGAAAACCTCGTACGATTAAAGTTAGGAATTTTTTGAGACGAAAAAGAGAGGTAGGTCGAATTTGACATCATCTGACAAATCATCCCTCTACCTTGCTAAACAGTTGGGCCTGGACAAAATATGTATACATTTAGTTAGAGTAGGGTCTGCACTGTTTGGTGGAAAATTTATTACTTACCAGCTCAACTGGACAATTTTTCCCGGAATCTTTTTTGCCACGTGGGGTCAAAAAGCGCACCCTTTTTGAGCACACGTGAGTAGCAGATGAGCACATTTATTAGAATTTCTTGGTCAATCAACTTCGTTAGAGCGTCTGTGCACCATCGATCAGTAACTGCTAGGGTGTCCTACCATTCCAGCACAAGACTGGTGCAGCCCCGTTTTGACTGATTTAGCTAGGACCACCTTTTTGGCGACGGTTGCGGGCATCCCTTCAAAGACTTTACTGTCTTTTAAGAAAACTGTGAAAAACCGATGAGCATTTTAAATGGTAGTATTCCCTCCATCAAATGCAATGCTGGTTTGGTGGGCGGAGGTTACAGCTCTCAGCAAGAATTTTGATGCATTTGGTACACACATGCGAATTTGCACACTGGACCCAGGAATTTTCAGAAGAAAGTATAAAAATTGGGGGAAAGTTAAATTGTGAACCAACAATAGAAGACGGTAAGCAACATATTTCGCAATATTAATGAGCAAAAACTGCCTTCTGGGATATTGATTTTCCATAGTAATCGGCCCCAAAACTTCCTGAACTCAGAAAAGCGACACTAAGATATCCGGTACCTAATACTTTCTGTGCCGAGAATTTTCAGCGTATAACCACTGGAATCAAGCAAGCTGTGAACCTGCGAGGCTCGAAAGGAAAAATAGCGCCTGCGAAAGGGCGGAAAAGTTGCCTTCTGTCTCAGAGAACCACACCCTGGCCGGCATAGGCTCTGGAGTTTTTCAGGAGGTCACTTGTGTTTCTGCCCTTTAATTGATGAAATAGGGTGATGAAGCAGCTTCGAATGCTTCTTTCTAGGCTTGGAAAAAATTGGGCAAAATAGATGGATTTGAATCAGGAATACACGTCATTACCATTTCCGGATATCCTTGGAAATTATTAAGTATCATTACGTCAAACAATGCTGAAGGGATGAATATCTCCTAAATTATGTAGTGATTTGCAGAAGAAGGGCAGTACTGGATGCGTAGTCGTGAGCAGGCTGATAACACTTAGAGCCGTATTGATGAATTTCGTTCACCGTTATGCCGTAACTTGTCAATGATTGTCTTTGCGTGGGAGCAAAGGCTTTTGCAAAACAGCTCAATAAAGGTAATCGATCTTTACGACTTGTCCGCAAGTTGTTCACGGGAGTAAACAGCAGCAACAAAAATCACAAACGAATCACCGATTATTGCTGGTGTATCCATCAACTTGGTGGTCGAGCACCTCAACTACATACACTATTTTTGATTAGTCTTCAAAAATTCCTCTAAACTATTGTCAGAACGAAACTCGTCCAATATCCATTTGTCTTTGCGAGCCTTCATGGTCAAGGCGCAATAGCAGCTGCGAAACTATGAAATACAGCAAACAAGCGTGCAATGGTTTCTATGGTAACGCGGAGGAGTCAATTTATTCAGAAGGTTCAAAAATTACTCATTCTTTGCTCGCAAACATCAGGGTAAGGGATCCGCGGCGATGGGTACGCTCAATGATAGTGTAAGCGAAATTTTCATTTTTAAGGATGGGGACACATACAGTTGTCTGCTGGAGTTGAGACCCACTATTCTCCTATCATTGAGTGAATCTGGAGTTCATCAGACGTCAAAAGGGCTCTGCGAAGGCCCAAAAAGATGCTTCGGGGTTCACAGCGGTTCCACACCCTGTCCTAAAGTCATGTTTGTTTCGCTGTAAGAAAAAAAATAAGTCTTTTTTTGCAATTCCTCCCTAGTGCAAGTCTCGATTGACCACGCATTAGCTCTAAGAGAAGACTCCACATTTTTCTAACGTGAACTGTATGAGAAAACCAATGAGCAATCAACGCTGTAAAAAAGTTGACGACATTGAGCAGTTTTGGGTTTTTGCAACCGCATGGGACCAGAGATGATCTTGCGATGTGTCGGGCGCCGCACACCCAATCTGGAGTACTAAGCTGTTAACATGCGGCAATCTTAGATGCGCAGTGAAGTTATTTTCAGAAAGTTGATTCTGTCTAAACTTATTCGGAAGTTACAGTAATGGAAGTTTGGACCGAGATAAAGTTTCACGGTCATGAAAAGGCAAATGAGTTTTCATTTTCCCTTTAGTGGTTCTAAAATCAATTCGACGTGGTTGTTTCAGTAAAAGCATATATCTTCCCTTTCGAAAAGGTTTGTATTCACTTCCTGTTATTCCTTTTTATCAACATGTCTACGTTATTGAAAAGAAAACGAGGAATGAACTGAACAGACATATCCGTAAGGTCTGGAAAACTCTGCCAAACTAAAGAATATTTGGCCTTTCTGTGAGCCATGTGGTTTTTAAGTATGCTAATGTATGGCCTATAGAATGAGTACAAAGACCTTAGGAATAAGTCGCACAAGCGCAAGAAAAAGGGATGACTTACGCGTTACCGCGTCACAATGTCCCACGAGGTGTGCAAAGTGGGACGCGTTACCGCGTCGCGCTGTCGTCAACATGTTAAAATATGTGTGGTAAACAATGTGATAGTGATGCAGTTCTAGAATTTCATGGACTTCGTGTTATTGAAATGATCATCGAAGAAAGCACAAATGTGTAATGCAAAGGTGCAAATACACCGATCAAATAGTCAATATCCCTGATGGAATCATCATCTAAACGTGGGATGTCGAAATGTCGACAGATTTTGCACGGAACAAGGCCTACTTGTTGTATTGCTGGTTAGAGATGCAGTAACTTGGATGTGGTTTCAGTGAGCCCCGCCTTCCCCTCCCCCCATGAGGAGATGCCGAGTCAAATAGGTCAAAATGTTGCTTACCTTGAAAATTGCCTGTGGGCACCTACCTCTGACGCAGGTTGCGCTATAGGTAGAGTTACCAGAGCTCACGTGAAACTTCACGCAAGGAATATTTTTGTTTCTCTCCTTTCAACCCTGTTAAACCCTGTTATGTGAATACAAAGCCCTTCATATTTCCCTAATCGACTTTCATAGAAGTTTTTGTACTATGACGACCGCACCGTTTTAATGAGAATGCTGAAATACGTGGAATAAAAGTTAAATATGTCCATTTATAAGTTTGAGCGTGTGACTGCGCTATGAGTTTACATTATTTCATGCGCTTGGTTTCTGTCAGGCGTGAGAAAGGTATGATCGGTTACTTGAACTTCATATATTTCATCTGACTATCATGTATTACCCTGAGTTGTGTTTTGTAGTTTAATTAATTTCAGGTGTGAGCACTCCTGGCCGACATAGAACATTCAGTGGAAATCCGCAGAGCATTTCAAATCCCGAAGATGGATGTCCAGTCCAGGTACGTGAAATCATGTGTCATCTACTGGCAAGGATCCTTCTTCTGTGAACCTGCCCAACTGTTGTCTTATCAGTTCAACTTGCTCAGCGGTGTTAGATAATCGGCTTCTAGGTAAAAATAGCCAAAAGTGATGACGATATGGAAGGCGGTATGGCACCGACGGTTCAATTCAGAGAATCTAATGAGTATCCTGTCGTTTTCAAATGGCATTGCTCTGCTACGAGGTGAGGGTTTTTTTTATTTCCACCATTCAACGAAATGTGCCCTGATTGTCCATCGATTGGTGTTCTCTTTGTCTCATCGCTTCTTTTTGTTATACTATTTTACTGCGTGCTATGCTATCCTTCCTTCATTTTTCATCGCGTACCTTCCTGCCCTTTCGGCTCACCTTTTGTCGTAGTCGTCCACGCATAGTTTTTTTTTTGCTTTTATCACATGAATGACTGTTGCACATCTCAGCAAAGGAACTTATGTTCCTCATCGAGCATTCTTCAAAATGTACCAATTATTTGCGATAGGAACGAGTGGACAATGTTTCTGCGAGCTTGGGTGCCTCGTTAGTTGACCTTTTATTTGTTCTCTTAACCTTCCCTATTTATTTAGTTCCAACCTCCGAAGTTCGTAGACCCGTTCATTTTCTTCTTAGAATAATTCGTTGGCAATATTTACTCTTTTATTCTTTTTTTCTTCGTTTTCCGGTATTTGTTGGCCATAGTAGTCATCCCCATCACAATGTCTGAGTTGTTGCCTATTGTGTTCTAATGAACTCAATATATTTTTGCCTCCTTCTTTGCTAGCTGCAATATGAATTAGCCCTTCAAAGAATTATATGGGTGTTTTCCAGCCAACGCGCACACGGTCTTCATTTGTGGGTCGTGGGATGGATGGCGACAAAAAATACCTCTCGTCAAGTCTGCCAACGATTTCAGCACCATCCTTGAACTGACTCCAGGCATGTTTGTTTTTCTTCGTTTGAGCATACCCAAAAAACATGACGTCTTTCTCCGCATTGTTCTTATAAGAATTTCATAAGAAAATCCTTTGGTTTAGTCGCTAGTGGTGATCTGCCACGCGGCAGGAGCGGGGATCAAATCCCGGGTCATCCGCTCAGGGTAAGCCAACGATCTCTTCGGAGTCAGTTAACTTGTGCCAGACTTTTTATTTAAGTATAGGCTTGTATTTCAGCTAGCTTCCGTATGTCATTGTATGGGCCAAATTATCATATTCAAGTGGCGCTAAGTTTCTAAATTGGGAACACAACACGTGGCGCCTCTCTAAAAGGGGAGTTACCAACAACTGAGCGCTTGATCCTTTCGAATATTTTTGATACGGTTAGAAGGAGGACCCACCTCGCTTTTGTTATCTGATAGCTGTTGAGTTGCGTCATTGATTTCCGTCGCTATCACTGAAATCGGATTGTAAGGCAGCTTTATGCAAAGTAGTATGGTGTCACGCTCCTGTTCGCTGTATTGATCGAAAAAGGAGTGTTCCTGTTGGCTCAAAGTCAACCAGGCTTGCTCAAAGGAATTTTCTTCCATAATGATTCATTGCTAATGGAACACATTTTTAAACGGTCTTATATTCTGAATATCTGTTAAACGAATAGTTTGAAGGTCATCATGAGTACAAATTTATGGTGGACAACAAATGGGTGGTGGATGACAATCAGCCGAAGACGAACAACAATCTTGGAGGGGAGAACAATGTTGATGTCTATCGACCAAGACGATTTTGAAGTATGTTTATTGCTCTATTTCAGAGCATTCCTAAATTTCGGATATATTTCGTATATTCCATGCGTGGATTATACAGTCATGCTTTCATGCAAAAACTTTGCTGACAACTACTTTTTGCAGAAACTTGTCAGTTATAATAACAAATCGCTCGTGGAGTGGTTTTTAGTTGAATTTGGACGAACACCACGAAATCAATAAGGGAGGAGAAAAGCTATTTGATTAGGCTGCAAACAGGCTTAGGCCATG